AGATGGCAGAGATTAATTCCCCTGGAGAAAATGGTTGACTCTGTAGCAGTCAGGGCTTCAGAGCATGGAAAATGGTGGACTCTGGCAGTCAGGGCTTCAGAGCACGGGAGAGGCTGCAGGTGTGTGTGTGAGGGGAATGGAAAGCTGAAGAGAGAGGGGGAAATAAAGGTAGGTTGATGACTGGCTGGGATAGAGATAGGGTTGCCGACTCCAGGTGGGAAATTCCTGGATATTTGAGGAATGGAACCTGGAGAGGGTGAGGTTTGAGGAGGGCTGGAACCTCAAACAGGTACAATGCCATAGACTCCCCTCTCCCAACCAGCCATTCCCTTCTGGGGAACCACTGTTCCCTATCTCAGGAGAGAAGTGGAAATCACTCAGAATTACAACTGATCTCCAGGAGGGAGGGAGGAGGAGATGCAAAGCTGAAATCAGAGGGGCAGATAATGGCAGGTTGATGCTTGGTTGGGAAGGAGATAGGATTGCCAACTCCAGGTTGGGAAACTCATGGAGATTTGGGGGGTGGAGCCTGGAGAGGGTGAGGTTTGACGAGGGGTGGGATCTCAGACAGGTACAATGCCATAGACTCCACCCTCCAAACCAGCCAGTTCCTCCTGGGTAATGATTGTCGCCAATCTCTAGGTGAGGGCTGGAGATCACTGAAAATTACAACTGCTCTTCAGGTAGCAGAGATCACTTCCTCTGGAGAAAATGGTGGACTCTGTGTCATTATACCCTGCTGAGGTCACCACAGCACATTGACGCTGAGTGCCCAAGGCCTTTGCACTCTCCCAGAGCCTCTTTCTAGAGCTCGTTTCATTTATTTCCACAACGGACCTTATTCCTAGTAATATAGAAAGAGAAACACTGCAGAAACAGAATGGTGGCTAAAAACCCACATTCATGGATACAGCATTCACTCCCAAAGCCTTAAGCAAGCAAATAGGCTTTCTGTCTTTTCCAAAGATCCAGCAGGGAGATTAGTTGTTGAACTTTCTTAGTTTAAACTATAACCCTTATGGCTGCGTGAATAAGCTCTACTCCTAGCTCCAACTGTTCATCTGTCCTTTAGGTCAGGTTCAAAGCTGGGCCCTTTGCCAGACTATCTAAACAAGAAGATGGTGCAGGGAGGAATTCTGGAGAAAACTCAGACAGGGAGAGTCATATCCTTCGAATATACAAGGAGAGTCATTTCTTCCAAATATACAGGACCTTGGCTGTGAAGGGCTTTCCAGGCCAAAACCAGCACTTTTCAAATGGCCCAGGAGTAGTTAGTGCAGTTGCTGTCCCTGTTGGCCCGGTTACAGTATTCTGGTTACCCCGGAGACCTGCATCCTTCAACATTCCTTTATGTGATGCTGTTGTCCTCTTTCAGTTTGCAGAGTTCGATCAAATAATGAAATCTGATCCAGATCACCTTGCTGAGTTGATTAAGCGAGTCAATCACTGGCTCATTTGCAGTCGTTGGAAGAAGGTTCAGTGGTGTGCTCTCTCTGTCATTAAATGTATGTATTCAAATGCTCTTCCAGTAGAGAAAACAAGTTTTGAGAGCTGCCTAGTCATAAGGATCTTTACTTGGAATACTAAAACTCTAGTTTGCCCAGTGAAATTGCCCAGTAATAGCTTCAAAGCTACCATTCTGTTTTGATTTTGATTTTTGCTGTCAATTCACAGCTGACCTATGGTGACCCCATAGGGTTTCCAAGGTGAGAGACTAACAGAGTTGGTTTGCCATTGATTGCCAACCCTTCTTAGCTTCCGAGATCTGACGAGATCGGGTTAGCCTGGGCTCTCCATTCCATACAGTGCTTAAGGAATACATGGAACTCACTTCCTTCCACAAAGCAAGGTGATAGTGTCTAGTTTAGATGGCCTTTATTATAAAAAAAAAGGCTTAGACAGGTTTATAGAGCTAGCCTTCCAACAGCTGCTAAACACTGTGGCTAAATGGAACCAACAAATCCTGAGACAGAGTTTCTGTGTCCCAGCAGCTGCTTTTCTATCAAGTGGCCTCTGGGTCTGTTTGCAGGCTCCACAGATACATCTGCTCTAAATTGAATGCTAGATTAGATGGACTGCTATCTTGAATATAGCAAGTGTTTTCTTGTTCAAGTTCTACACAGGATGGTGGGGGCTTACTGTCAGGTAAATCTTTTCAGGTTTGCCACCCCAACTCTCGAAAGAACTGTTGATAACCACTTTGTGTTAATTGCAGATAGGGTTAAGGCAGTGACGTGATCGGTTCATTTAAAGCCCTATGTTGACAGGTTTTCAAACAATTGTTTGCTATATCTTCCCCTGGCTTTTTTTTTAAAAAAAATTCTCTGTCCAGAGAGCTGTGGTATCTTTCCATTTTAGAAGATGCCTGCATTTAATGCTTGTATTTTGCAGTGAAAAACAAAATAAAGTACAGAGCTGGTGCCTGCATTAAAATACAAAAGACGATTCGCATGTGGCTATGCAAGAGAAAGCATAAACCACGGTAAGACAAAACCAGCTGTAACGTGCCAAAGCTCTGTGTTAGTGCTTGCATCCCAGTCTTTAATACCAGTTCTTTAATACCTCCTTCAAGACAATTAAAGTGTTTGTGATACTGCTGTTTCTTTAATGCTGCATAGGAGTAGCTTCTAGAATTTTCCTCTTTATGGTGCTAGTGTTTCTTTACTGCTTTTTCTTTTTAGTGAAAAACACCTGAAATTTGGGCAAAAAAATCACATTTATCTAATACTATCAAACCTAAACTTGGTTTACTGCTTCAGCAGTGTACAATACATAATTTATAACTTAGTGTATAAAAATGTACTACTTGGCAAATTTTGGGATTTAGAAGTATAAATGGCTTAGTTTTCTGCAAGAAAAACTCTGAACAATACTAGGGAGAGGTCTTCAAAAATGTGCTGCCTTAGCACATTTTGGGTTTTGCTATCAGAGAGTTAGAAACAGAAAGAGCAAATTTTGTCATAAAGAGAAGCCAGAATATTCTTTGGACAAGAACAATCTTATTACGACTATCAGCATATTGGTATAGTGAGTTCAGCTTTAACATTGAAAACGTTATATGCATCACAGTCACATTTAAATACTAAAGGTATCTTAGAAAATGAAGTGACTATATCTGCATAAACAGGAGTTTTTATTAAATGCTGTAGATTAGATCAGCTAACGAAAACTCTTCACAATTCTCAGTCTGAATAAAATCTTAAATTTTCCAGTTGTTTCCCAAGCCATCCTGTCTCTCCTGTGGAACTCAGGGTACACCCACAGACCTGTGTGCAGGGCCAAGCACTGCTAAGCAAAGTGTGATTTCTCCCCCCCCCCGGCTACTCTTCCTCACTTGTGGTAGCTTCCAAACCACCTCAACCTCATTTCTTGTCTCACTGTTCTTTTCTATTAACAGTTGCTTTCTGAATTGTGCTGCTGCAGAAACTAAAAAGCATCACAGGGTGTTTAAGGGCCGTTGGGTTGCATGGGTGCCTGCAGGCCTCCATTCCCCTCCTCCTCCTCCTCCTTCTTCTCTGTTTACCCTTCCTGTTTTTCTTCTGTGGGTGCAGTGGCTTTGGGGGACAGTGCAGAATTTCAGTCTACACATGCAGACTCCTGCTTGAATGTTTCTTTTTCAGTATCGATGGCCTAATAAAGGTTCGCACGCTGAAGCAGAGGCTTGATAGATTCAACGAAGTGGTAAGCGCTCTGAAAGAGGGGAAGGCAGAGGTGAATCAGCAGATCAAGGATCTTGAAAGGTCTATTGATGCCTTGATGTCCAAGATTAAGGTGAGACACACTCACAGTAGGAAACAGATGTCATTTAACGCTTTACAGAAGGAGCATGTTGCTGCTGGCAAATGTCATCCTGAGAGCTTTAAAATCAAATCATTGTGCTGTTAAGATGCAGTTAAACATGCAAAAGCAATCAGAATTCTGCACTCAGGATATCAAACTTTTTCACCAGGAAAAGCTAGATGAGCTGGAGGCAAGTTGGGCAAATGTGAATGTTTAATATATTTAAAAATGTGTATGCCATGTCTCTAGAGACCTCCTTTCTCTTACATAGTGTGTATTTTCTTCTGTCATAAGTCTGCACTTTTTTTTGCTAATTCATTCTAGTTTTCTAGGCATGGGAGGGAAGGGACATGGAAGCTTCCACCCCACACTTAAGCCCCACTGAAAACCTTATACAGAAACTGTGAACTTCTGAGTTTTCTGCAGAAATTACCCACATGCTTTCAAGCACACCTTTGCACCCTGAAATGCTAGAAATGTGGGGTTGTTGTTTTCCCCCCAGCTCTTTGCCCATGGTGGCACATTCCTTGCTTTCTCCACATTTCCACAGGAACACACATGCAATTGCAGTTACAGATGCCAGCCTTTGAATCAGAAACATCCTTCTGTAGGAATAAGTTGTATTGCTCTGAATGAAAGAGCTTTCTTTCCCATTACAGTATGCTTTTGCAAATGGGAGTATAAGTTCATAGCATATTATTGTATAATGGGAAGTTCTGTTAACATTTAGGGTTGACAAGTTAAATATGTTTGACCAGCTTTTAAAGAATGTGGAGAGGGTCACCCCCCTGCTGATGAAGGTAGTAGTTTTGCACCTCCTACTACAGTAGTTTTTCAACTGTGTTTAATCCTTCTTTTGATGCATGAGAGTGCTAATTGATTTTTCAAGCTGTGGTGTTCGTGCTTGTAATGACCCATCTCTTATCTGCGATACAGAACAGAAAATAGCCTAGAGAGCATTATAAAGGGGGGGGGGGTTCGTGCTTGTAATGACCCCCTCCATCCAAAACATAGTTCTGGTTGTGCTTTATATATGATACTGTGTCCTTCATGCCCTATTAAAATTGAGCTTGAAGACTTTTACCTAAATTGAAAGTATTTTTTGACCTTTTATCCTTACACTTCCCACCTTTTAGTTGCCTTCTCCACATCAGACTTTATAGTAACTTTGCTTGTTAGGCACTCAGGTGCCACTTACTTGCTGATAAGGCTGTATAAATGATCGACATTTATTATTCTTATACAAATAGTGTTGTATTGCAATGGTTTATTTCGCAGGCCACGGTAATGCCTAGAGAACAGATACAGAAGGAGTATGACGCTCTAGTCAAAAGCTCTGAACAGCTTCTGAGTGCATTACAAAAAAAGAAACAGCAGGAAGAGGAGGCTGAAAGGCTTCGGCGCATCCAGGAGGAAATGGAAAGAGACAGGAAGAGGCGCGAGGAAGAGGAGCAGCGTCGAAAGAAGGAAGAGGAAGAAAGGCGACTGTGAGTGGTGACAGTGTCAGTTCTAGGAGTTTTTGTCAACAGGAATGGAGGCATTGGGATGTTTTGTGGGAGCAAGTGGCTCCTCTTAGAAGAATTGCCCAGGGAACCATGTTTGATGCTAATGGTCCAATCTGCTTAGCTGATAGTATGTATTCTTCATTCATGCCTTTAGCTGCCTTTCACACATCTTACCTCTAGTTTATAATTTAGTTGCAGACAGATTATAGTTTCTTAGCAATCAAACAGCAATATTCCTTAACAGGAAAGATGTAATTTCATCTGGTAGTGACTTTATTTGTTGCTTTGATGGCTGACAGCACGTGGTTGTTCAAGTGCAACAGGCAGCTACTGCTTTTTTCTCACATCCAAACGCAGACCATGTTTCGTGCGTTTACTTAAAAATATACTGTCAGCCTTGGATAACTCTGTTCTCCCTAGATGGACAGCTCCAGGGCCAGAATATGCACTCATCAGGTGCTTTCCTTTAAAAATAGACACGTGTCACCAAGGCTCTCCTCTTACAGCGATGCTGCTCCTGGTTGTTCCTTTAGAATAGTAGCACACATTTAGACAGATGTTTTAAAAAAGGAATACCAGTAGCAAGGCTGTTACTTTATCCACCCTTTGGAACAACTACCTGTATATACCTCTTTCCCCCATATCTGTGAAACTGAACAGGGTATCATGCTATTGTCATTAAGAAGGAATTTTATGTGCATATTATATTAAACTCATTCAGGGTATATTTTGATTGTAGGAAAGGATTCTAAAACATTTGGAAGTCTGTGATAAAAGAAGGGAAAGGAATGTACCTAGAAACACAGTGATGGAAAAACAAACCGCTCACTTCCATACTTTAGATCACTAGGGTGAATTCTTCTTATAGGCTTTTAAGCATTCTGTGTTAAAAGAAAATACAAGATCAGATCTAATGATATGTCGATAGACTAATAGGCACAGAAGCTAGGGGGCTGTGCTGAGGAGGGGAAATAGGGTGAAATCACCCCCCTGCCTCTCACATTAGCAGATCTGCACAGATGGAAGAGCTTCTTTGCCTTTCACTGGGTTCAGACCCACGAGGCTTTTAGTCCATGTGAGTCCCACAGCTGGATGAGTCAGTTTTCTCAGGTCTTAAAGGAATTCTTGGGAGAGAGGAGCAATAGAAAGATCCATGATCCTTGTGCCCATAGATCCCTGGCTCCAACTCAAGCAGTATATCTGATTTATTTTTAAAGCTGTGTGATTTTCAAGGTTTCATTGCAAAAAGCAACGTAGCAAAATACCCTGAAAAAGCCACAGAAACGCACATACCCCTGAACCCTCTTCGCAGTGCCCGCTTCTAGTTGAGATACTTTGGTTTTTGGGATCTAAAACCATTTGGCATCAAAGAAAAATATTGCAAGAGAGAAAGAAAATAAATGCAACAGGTTATACCATTATTGATGCGTGCTGCTTTTCAGCTTGCATGTCAAATCTGTTTTCTAGGAAGTATGAGATAGAAGCAAAAAGAAAACAAGAGGAGGAGGAGAGGAAGAAAAGGGAAGAGGAAGAAAGACGGATCCAGGTAGGCTTTTGTATCTGTTGCACTTTCCTTATCCCCCTGCAGCAGCTAAAAACATCCATCATATGAATATACAAAACTGCCTTGTACTGAGACATATAATGGGGTCTGTTAGGATCACTATTGTCTACTTTGGCTGTAGCTCCCCAGGGTTTCAGGCAGAAATGTTTCACATCACCTACTACCTGGCCTCTTTAGTCAGAGATGCTGGGGACTGAACCTGGGACCTTTTGCCTGCAAAGCGGAGGGTTTACCACTGGGCCACAGCTCCATGAACTGTTGAAAGGCAATGCTGGGGTGGGAGGAACAAGTAGGCAAATGCATCCAAAAAGGCAGAAGAAGCATAGTTAATGGCATCTCAAGTAAACAGGTAACGTTTCCCCCACAAATATTACTGTACTGAGTGATTGAACATTCATTTAAATATACACTGTTGCAATACATGCAGGGGAACAAAATAAAAAGATTGTTTTGAACTTTAGCCCTTAAATGTGCTGCTGTCCTTTAAACTTAATGCTAACATTAAGATAATTTGGTGCACTGAATAGAAAGAGAGATCACAGTGCCAAAAGGAAAAGTGCTTGCTAGAAAGAAAAATGTCAGATTTTTGAGAGCTGAAGCTTAATGAGAGGGCTGCTATTCACAGTTATGACAGAATAATGAAACATGATTTAGATAGAAGTTTTGTTAAAAGGTTCTTTACAAAGTAACACTCATTTGCTAAGCTGTAAGTTACCCTAGTCATAAAATGTATTACTTGATAGGTGGGTTTTGCTGTTTTCTTCTGTAGTCCTGTATTCTTTTTTTTAATTAACAAGCAGTCAAGGATCATTTTTCACTTGCATCCTAACTCTGTCCTTTTAAGGAGTCCTGTACTTGCTTAGCATTTATGGCTTCTGACTTTGAAGTGTTAAAACATCCTTTGTGTCATTTTGTAGACTTGCTAACTTGGGAATTTTTATAGAATTGCACCATTTCCCAGGTCTCTAAAAGAAGTCAAGTACTTGGGGTACCAACCTTCTGGTAGTTCTTTGAACAATATTATTGACAAGATCATACTCTTTTTGTCTAACAGTTGTACTTTGAAAAAAATACTATTTTACCTGCTCTCATAGTTTTTTTATAGTCTCTATCATTTTAACATATTCTGAATATTTCAGGTCATTTATAGTCTCATTTTAACATATTCTGAATATTTCAGGACACATGCACAGAGAACTAGTTGTATCTGTTGTTTTTTCTGCACCAAAGTATTGGTGCTCATGAAGTTTGTTACACAGCAGAATATGAGGAAGTATAATGCAGTAGTGAAGTGGGCGGGTAGACTAGCTGGAAAAATTAGAAACTAAATTATAAATGTGTACTTTATATGCTTCAAGGCCAAGATGTACAGTACTAGGAAACTAAGAGCATAAGCAGTATCTGTTGTTCAAACCTCGTTCATTTGTTCCTTTTCCATTCATTGTAGTGTAACTTGCATAAGAGAGACAAGGTTGAAGATATTGCTTTGCCCTAAGATATGTGGAGGTTTTATTGTTGTGTAGAGTACATTGCTTAACTTTTCAGTAGATTTCTTTTCACTTTGGGATAGTAGCAGAACAGATGTTCTTTTAGTAGGGCTTTCCCTTAGGCTGCATTCAATCAGCTTCCCTGCTGCTACTGGATAATCCAAAGGAGGGGATCTCTGCCGAAAAGTCTCTGTAGCAGAAAGGAAGATTACTTGGTAATATCATAATTGGAATAAGGGTTGACTCTAGTCCAGGACACCCAGTTCCGTCTACCTTTCTACAAAGAGAATGTTGGATTAGGGATTTCAAGTAGATCGTACAGATGATTTACTTTCTTCAAGCATTTATATGCCAGCTATCTTCCTAGACTCAAGATGGCTTACAATATACTAAAACAGCAGCACCATATGAAATTCCCTAAGCATAAAAATACTGCAACAGGTATGCACAAGGCTGTAAACATTTCACCAGAAAACTCAGTAACTAACCTACCAAAAATACGAGGCTGTACTTGGCATACTTACTGCTTTGCCTGCAAAAAAGCTCCGCTTTAGACAGTTCCCTGAAATTCAAACAGGTGGACTTGATCCCCTTAGGCATTCTACAGTACACTGGTATGGGTCCAGTGATGTATGTTTAACTGGCTCACAGGTTCTTGAGACATAGGCAATAGTTTTCACAATTTGGGCAATTACTTCAGTGATGATTCTGCATATTTAACTGATGTAAATTGGCTCTGTCATATAGAAACTGCAATTTTTTTATTGTTCTTCATCCCTAACTGACCAAAGAGGGCTTCTCAGAAGAGCGTGTCTTTGATATAAAAAAACACACAGTCTTCTAGTTTTGTGAAGTGGACAAAAAACCCACTGGAAGCCCAAGTACTGCAAGCAGTTAGTCTTGATCTCTGCCATGGATTTGGCTCTTTAATTACGAGATCAGCCTGGAATTTGATGACAGTTATTGGCTGGCATTCTTTTGAACACCTGTTCATTTTTCTAGTGTCATAAACACTAGATTTACAACTCAGAGCTACTGTAAGAAAAGAGCTTTCTATTTTAATGTCAGACTTTGCATTTCTGAAGCCATACCAGAACTCTCAAGCCTTTAGTTTCCACATATCTTTACAGACTTATCTTGATCCTTTCTGAGAATGGGCATAGATTTTGGGGCAAATTCTTATGTGCTTCTGAGGTTGTTTTGTGTAAACTGCACAGTGCCTTTATGTAAGGTTTTCTCTAGCCTTTTTAAAGACACAAGAATTGGTGGTCATAAGTGAGACTGCATCGGAAGCCTTTTTTGTCACTGTGTAGGCTGAAGTTGAGGCACAGCTGGCACGAGAACGTGAAGAAGCGAACCAGCAACAAGCAGTGCTGGAGCAAGAACGGAGGGATCATGAACTCGCAATGAGGATTGCACAAAATGAATCAGAACTCATCACAGATGAATCTCAGCTGGATCCAGGATTACGCAGGTACTTTATTTCATGTGTCTGTTTCTTTGATTATTGTAATCCCCAAAATCTCATTCTTTAAAATAGCCATCTAAAGTACAGAATTCTTTCTCCAGGCTATGAACATGTTCCCTTTCATATCTAACAATTAATCTGAACGCCATTAGAACTGGATTTTAGCTTCTATAGTCTGACATTACTGCTGCTGTAGTGAAGCACACCGTTCTGAAAACAGCTCTGGTCCTGACCAGTGTAGACAGATTAGATGTGAGGTATTTGCCTTTAGCCTTTCCCAGGAAGAGCTTGATTTCCCTCCCAACAGCTGGTCCAAAGCTCAGCAGAGCCTGTTTCCAGCTAGCCTTGGCATACATGCATTGGCATGCAACCTTTTCTTAATAACTTTTTGCAATACTAGTGTGACCCTCTGCCTGATCCCAGAGTGCTATATACTTACTGGGGAAAAAGAAGAATGATTTTTAGGTCTTCCTGAAAAGGAATCAGGTGACATTCTTTTCCATCCTAGCTGATTTATAAGTTTGTTTAACTTCAGATCCTGTTTCTTGTATCACCAGGCAACCGTAACACATGAAATGCTGCTAGTTCTTCAGTTCTCCTGATAGTTTTGTATATGTGTGTTTTGTCCAATAATTGACTGCTATACCTGGCATTCAAGGTTTCGATAGAAGGCCCCCCCCCAGTAGTTTTATGTTGGATATGATCTATGAGTAAAGTTGTAAATACATGTAAATCGACGCAAGTGAGAACTAACAGCAGATTAAAATGATCTGTAGAATCTCCTTTTTGAAGAAGAACATTGCCAGTTACAGACTCCTGTGAAAATCCTGCCCAGAGCAACAGCTGCTGCTGTTAAATTCTGATTTGTACAACAAAGACAAGCCCATATTGCAGCATATGTAAACTAGAACCCACTTCTTCAAATTCAGGAAGTGGCTGGTATTGGTATCAATATCAATAAAAATAAACATTGAAGTCAAAAAGTCCATGAAATGCAAGAGGCATGTTCTGAATGTCAGTTTACAGCAGCACCATAACTCTTAGCAAGTCCACCAACTGCATGCATCCGGCAAAGTGGGCTCTAGTCCATGAAAACTTAGTTCACAATAATTCTGCTAGTCTTTAAGGAGCCATGAGCTTTTCTGTTCTTCAGTTTCCTTATCTCTGGGTTCCGTATTAATGGCACCCAGGGGAACCAGATTTTTGCTGATCTGGATAGTGCTAACTGTTCATTTATACACACGACCTCACAGTATTGCAAACTGATATAAATAGTAAACTAACCTAAATATTTTATATTTGCAGAGACAATGGGAAAAGCTGTCAAATGACTGCGTATGGCTTTTTTTTCTCTCCCTTTGGGGTTTCCTAAAATCTGTGGGTTTTAAAAATTACCCTCATCTGCATATTACAAGTTACCACTTCAAGGCATTTTCCTTTTCTCTCATTGCATGCTTCAGTTAGGACTACCTAGGAGTCAATCAGTCCCCCCACTTTGATTCTTTATTGTTTTAAGGATGCTTAAATGCAAGTTCAGTTGGTTGTAATCTAAATATCATATGTGCAAATGAGTCTGATGTGTAAGATGGTTGGCACTTAGTTTAGTCAAAGTAGTTGACTAATTAATTTCTATACTGAGAAAAGACTGTGTTGATTTAGTGCACCATTAATTTTAGAAAGAACTCTCTTGTTTACTGATTCAGTATTAGATTTCAGAAAGCCATTGGATTAGTTGTAGATATGCTTTAAAACAGTATTAATTTTTACCCCTTCATGTACCCTTAATTCTTTTATAGAGAACAAATGGCCAATGAAATGTCAGACGTTTTATCTAGGTGGGTGTACCAAGTTACCAAGAACAAATTAATCACTGCATGAAATCATTGTAAGCCAAAATGAAACAGAAATCAATTTCATTTTAAGTAGTTGGGGGGAAATGAATGAATGTCTTCAAATCAAGATTCATGGATTCCCTCAATTCAGTTATCAATTTGCAATAATCAGTGTCAATGAATAATTCTAGTATTATATTTGTGACTTGATTTTAAAAAAAAGAATTTTCTTTGAAGTTCTTTTGCCATTTGCATAGATTTAACAGTAAAGCATTCTTCTCCCTCCCTCCTAAGAACTTTTCTTCTACATTTGGGGTTGTCTTAATAATTGTCCAGTGGTTGATGATGTGGAGTGCTGTCAGAGACAAGAATGCTTGGAAACTTCCCATATTGCTAGCATGCTATAAGTTATAATGTCTAGACTGCCAATGGGCAACTTGAATATTCGGGATGGTTTATTTCTTTATTATACAGCTGTTGTGCTAATTTTTTTAAAAAAAACCTGTATTTGAGTGTTCACTTGAGCATCTAGGAAATATTATATGATGATGATGATGATGATGATGATGATGATGATGATGATGATGATGATATGATTTATATCCCACCCTCCCCACTGAGGCAGGTTCAGGGTGGCTTACAACAATTCAAGAATACAATTAAATACAGTAAAATACAATAAAACCAATCATAAACTTATAAATTACTTAAAATAACAATCATTTAATACATAACAACATAAAACGCTGGAACGTACTCAAACAACAAGCGGAGCAGTTCTTATAACACAGTTTAAGTGCCTGTTGGATGTCAATATTTTTATACCAGCACAATTCTAATTTATTATGAGGCGAGCACAGGTAGGAACCTCGATGGTAGGACCCAGGTTACAGGCCAGAAAGCCAGGGCACAGTGATACCGGACCTCCTCTAAGGACGGTTCCGAATGCCCGTCTCTGCCTTATGTATGACAGTGGGCGCGGCGTGAGTAATCTTTCCTGTGTATACAGAGGGCGGATTGGCCAACGAACGCTCCTATTTCCCAGGAAGTGAGACAACACGCTAGGTTTAATGAATAAATGTTGCCTTTTACTAAGCAGTTCTCAAGCATACGAAAACAGATGCACACGCAGATTCACACAAGTTCCTTAGTTACAATAGTATATAGAAAGCAATCAGCATGGAAAATAATAAATTCAACAGACAAGGGGGATAACACAACAGGATATCGCTTATACTTATCTGAGGTCCAGGCTGAGAAGAAATCTCCTCGTAGAAGGAATGGGGAAACTTAAGTATCAGCGGATGGAATTCTAAAGCACACGCGGACTAGTCCAGCCAGCCTCGTGCGGGTTCTCGGGTCGCGACTCCCGAGAACACAGTAAGAATCACCCGCAGCACTTAAGCTGCAAGGTGGGGAAGGGATGGGTTAACCAGAGAAACAAAGGCTGTGTTTCTCTTTTTAAAAGCTTGTTTTTGGGCTTGGCTTAAGGCCAATAAACCCCTAGAAAACCGTCCCCTTTACTATGCTATAGGTTCAGGGTTGTGACATCCGTTGAGGGGAAGGGGGCAATATTCAAATGATCTGCCCTAACTTCAAAAGGGAGCCATGGGGCCAGGTGTCGAAAGTCCGTTCCCTTGGCAACTTTTGACTTGCAAAGATGTGCCTGGTCCAGAAGGCAATAAAGGATGTGTTCTTTGTGATGCCAAAACCAGATAGGAAGATGGGTTACGTGGTTTCCCACAGATCAGCAATGGTGGGGAAACCTGTTGTTCTGCCAAGTTTCCAAACTGAGCGCAATGGCGTTTGTCGTCTCTGTCCTGAAGCACACTGGGAAAGTGCAGGGAAGCACATGTTCTGTAGCACAAGCCTTGCTCACCCAAACACAAGCATGAGATGCCAAGCAAGCCATACAAACACACAGCAATCCCCTTATCCCATAGGCACAGATGTACAGACAATTAACAGACATAGCATCAGCACAGTACAAACAATGCAGTTACAAGCACACATGGTTACAACAGGGACATTCCCGATGTGTACTGTGGCTCCTTAATTGAATGCCTGGTGGAAGAGCTCCATCTTGCGGGCCCTGTGGAACTGTAAGAGGTCCTGCAGGGCCCTGATCTCTACCAGGAGCTCATTCCACCAGGATGGAGCCACCACTGAGAAGACCCTGGCCCTGGTTGCCGCCAGTCTGACATCCCTGGGGCCTAGGAAGGCCATCCGATTTTGTGCTCTTGAACACAGTGCTCTCTGGGGAATGTGTGGGGAAAGGCGGTCCCCCAGGTATGCCGGACCCTGACCATATAGGGCTTTAAAGGTTAAAAACAGCACCTTAAAACAAATCTGGTATGCTATTGGCAGCCAGTGTAGTGCTTTCAATACCGGCTTGATGTGCTCCCGCATGGGGATTTATTTATTTATTTATTATTCACATTTCTATCCCGCCCTCCCCGGAGGCTCAGGGATACCCATCAACAACTTGGCTGCTGCATTCTGCACTAACTGCAGCTTCTGGATTTGAGACAAGGGCAGCCCCATGTAGAGAGCACGAATTTAACATGAAACATTTCATTCTTGAGTTATTTGAATTTTTAAAATCTCCTCTCCTTTCATGGGCACTCAGAGTTGCAGTTATGCACTGAATCTGTTGATCTGTTTCATAGTATATCGTTTTATGCATCAGATTCTGTTTCCAGAGATTGCTTCACCAAAGCATCAGATACTAGTGTTAGGGTATGTATGTTGCATTTCTAAAATAAATAACTCAGGACCTAAATAATTTCCCAGATAGGCACAAAGAACTGGGAGCTTACATTTCTTAACAGCAGCAGTGCCCCAAACCTTACATGACAATGAGGTTTTGATGCTAAAAGGTATTCTAAAACCATATGTGATATAATGAAGGAAGGGGTCAGTGAGAATCTGTTGTACAAGCACAGAATACTTTTTTTCCAAGTTTGTCTCTCAGGCTTTCAATTACACTCACTCGACATTTTCAGCACAGCTAAGGGTGGTGCCATGCCAGCCTCTTAAATTGTATTTTATTTGCCGCATATGTTACATTGATATGGCGACATACTGTGGGGGCTACTTGCATATCACTAGCAGAAAGGGAGTTATGGGGAGGGCGTGGGCTGTAGGCACCCATAGGGGAAAGATCAAACACAGGCTGTTGAAGTACTCAGCATTTGTTAACATCCCAGCCTGGCTAAAGGGGGCAGGGAGGAGCTGCAAGATCCCTTTGTGAACCTACTCTGTATTTGTTACTGTCCCCCCACCCACCCAACAAATTTGCAAAGCCTGTGCATGGTTACTTAAGAGGAAACCTCACTGAATTCAGTAGGTCTTCTGTAGCCATCTATCCACCTAAACATGTGTGTTTTTTGTTTTTAAAGTTGGGCTCCACCAGTGACAACAGTAGCACCTTAGGAAAAGGAGTCAGCTATGAAGTGGGGAGGGAAGTGGGTGGATGTAGGTGACACCTATGTTAAAAGCACAGCAAACATTTGACTACACAAAACCATTTCAGGCACTTTTCTTCTAGAAACATTAGAAAACGGTGGTGTGGAAAAAGACTTAGGGGGGAAAAACTGAAGAGCAACATCCAGCAAGCAATACTGTGTAAGCAAGGGGGGAAACAATGTAGTTGGAAGGCCAAGTGGCAGCAAAATATCCATGCAGAAATGCCCATCTGGTATATGCTTATAAACTCAGTGTCTCTAATACAGAGCTTGTTACCTATGGAAGTCCATACCAAGGTAAATCACAGGCTTTGGTACATACAGGGAGGGTTGTGTGGTAAAGGGCTCCCTTGTGTTCTTCAGAATTATAGATTCTTTACACTTGTCCATCTTCTTTGCCCTTGTGGTACATTTCATTCTACTGAAGAGTATCAAATAGCCCCTTGTCACACAGATCTCCATATGCATGCTGGAGCTTCCAAGAATGTACCTCTGGGTTAAGATACTTGCCTTTTGTTCTTCAGCATGTTAATGCCAAATCACATTACCTTGTGTCTATTGAATCACTGGAGACAGTTCATTAGGGGAGATTCCTTGTTTGCTTATGCAGTAGATTTAATGGCATGTTAATGCATGATTCAAGTAAATGTGTGTGTTTCACACACTGTATGGTGGCAAACTCAGATTTGCCCATGAGTACAGAGGCAGCAGGAAGCCACGCCCAATGTCAGTGTGTCTTACAATAGAAATGTCTCTGTATGATGTATGTTTGAAAGTATGTCACCATTGCTTTTGCTGATTGCATTTTTAGGTACACGTTTATGTGATCATCAGAGCCCCTAAGATGTAATGTATGAAGTAGCCTTTTATATTAAGGCTAGCAACCTTTATGTTGCAGTGTTCAGTCTTTATTTTATGACGGGACTCTTTCCTCTTGAAGTTGTACAGGAAAAACAAAACTGTGGTCTAAGCAGGACTGAAGCTAAGCTACTCTATTGGATTATTGTTCTTAAAGATTACTTTGTTTAACCAGCTATCTTTTGGCCTAGTTCTATTGATGTAAACTGTGTGAGGAATGCTTGGGCCAACAGGTGGTGCAGCTAAATAAGGAAAATCCGCGGGATTTGTCACATCAGTTGTTCAAGAAGGTTAGCCATTGTAGAGAGGAAATCAGACTTGACTGTTTTTCCCCTGTTGAATGAGTATTGTACCAGTTCTTTGGAACTTAACCTTTACATTGCATTGTGTCTTTATAGGCTTGCTTATGTTCACTTAATGTTCTGTGAATATGTAGTCATAAGCACAGCCAAGGTCTAAAATGCATTTGTGTTTGGGTTTTGTGATGGTTAAATAGAGCAAGGAATATATTTTCCATTTAAAGTACATCTTTATGGTGTGCAGTAATGTAATAGTGGTAATAACAGTCTATTGATTTTGCAACTCTGTGAAAGGCCAAAGGCCACATTTGAGATTGCATAATATAGCAAAGAACAGAATGGAGCGTTAATATTGACAATTAAGTTCCTATTTCCAAGGTAGTTGGATCAATATGGCTGGCTTTGTTCAACTCATTTGATAATAACCTTGTAGGATCCTGTCTAATCCAAACCTGATGTACATTAAAAAAAATCCTGAATAGCTGTTAACAGCATTACTACTACTTATTATCATTATCATTAGCATTCTAAATTGCTGATGCTTCTAAGAGAAGCAAAAAGAAGTAGTAGAGTAGAAATTGCAATAGGCAGTTCAGAGTAAATGAACTGTCCTTGCCCAGAATCTTACATTTGCATACTTCTGAACTCTCTCTAGGAGCTATTGCAGAGGTATTTCAGGTGGAGAAGAGTGTGGGGGAAAGTGTGTCATCTAACTTTCAGTAATTCAACAGATGTATAGTTCCTCTGGTTTGTGATGCTTTAAAAACTCCAACACGCAATACTTTTCTGGCCATTGTTTCAGTGGGGTTTTTTTTAAATTCTGTGCATGCATACTTAAATAAATTAAATTATTTATTTAAATAGTAATGAATTTAATAAATATTTATATCTTGCTTTTCTCCAGAATGTGGAAAAAACCAATGCTGCTTTACAAAACAGAAAAGAAAATCCAACAGAAGTAAATGGGGAGGGGGGGGACCTCTGGAGGCTTCGGTCCTGCAGGCCAGAGTCAAAGGATAAGAGCCCTTCAGCTCATGCCTCTGGGCACCTCCAGGCCTTAAAAATCAGGAGAACAATATCAGCTACGTGTTATTAGCTGCTGCTTGCCAGCTAGCAGGCTCTTCCCCATTTCCTCCCTGCCACTTGAAAATGGGTACACATATGTAGTCTGTACACAGCATGTATGCATGAGTATAAAAAGTAAACTGAGAACTAGTCCTCATGACTTGGCCATCTTTTGTCAAATTCAAGAGCTTTCAAAGCACAGACCTGATAGAAGGCGTTTTCTCCTGTAGCTTTATCTACAGTGATGAACTTTGATTAAAGGGAAAGTATTAAATTAGCGGTGTGAACCAAGTGTGTAAGAATATGATGGAAACTCATGCATGTAACCATCAACCAGAAAGGAGTGAAAAGAATGAAACATTCTGCCACTTCTAGGCTTTAGAATGTTCAGCAGTTCTTAAGAGTCAGAAGATAATTCAGCATGGTGGTAATGCACATTTTGTTTCTCCACTACCAAAGGCTACCTGCAGACCATCACCTCTGTTTCTTACTTAAAACTCTCAGAACTGACACTTCTCTGAGCTTCTTTTTGCCATACTCCCTGTTTTCCCACTCAGCCCTGGGCTTATTCCTATCAACTTCTCAACCCAGCCTATATTCTCTAGAGAACCACTGCTTTGGGCCCTGTAAAGAAGGCAATCATCACCATTCACCACTGACACCATTTCCACACTCAGTCTTGCCTCCCCACATTTCATCAGCAAGTATATTTTACCTGGAGGGAGGTCAAGGCAGTTATCTCATTTGACCAGTGGCCTGACTTATTCCTGCCTTGAACTGTACCGTACATTTTCAAACTAACCCACAGGGGACCTTCAGTTCAAGCCACCAAAGCTGCAGCTGGCACTAAAAAGCATGACCTCAGCAAATGGAAGTATGCAGAGTTACGTGATACAATCAATACTTCTTGTGGTAAGTGCCTGTTCCATTCCAGGTGGAAAGAAATTTGTTGTATTGCTGTGTCATTCTCTGATAGAATTTTTTAACTCCTAGGGTGAATAATTAAGTACTTGATGTGAATCTAATAAGCATGGATGGTTGGCTTTGGATTTTTCTTAATGTTTCTTGAGTCAACACTAGTGAGAGATACTTTATATGCCATTGATTTTTCCCCCCTCTGATATATAACCTTATTTTAACAGTGCAAATGTTGAGCTCTGCTGTACATTTCTTAGTCATTGGGAGTTTTAATTGCATGTCACAAAGGACACCACAGTTACATTCAAGCTTAATCTCAGAATTGGAAGGGACCCACAGGATCTTCTAGTCCAAGCCCCTGCACAAATCTACAGATTGCCAGAGCAAACAGATTAGGTTTTTGCTGACTATTTGTAAATGTGAATAGCTTAGATTTGTTTGACTTACAGAGAGCCAGTGTGGTGGTTAGAGTGTTGGGCCAGTATCTGGGAGACCCAGGTTTGAATCACCACTCTGCCATGAAAGGTTGCTGGATGACCTGCCTCAGAGGGTGGTTGTGAGTATAGAATGGAGAAAGGAAGAGTGTTAGCCATTTTGGGTGCCATTGTGGAGAAAAGCGGAGTAAGTGAAGTTAATAGGAAATGTATGATCCATATCACAAAAGCCCTCTGCCTTTCACTAACTATTTCGTGGAGGAATGGGAGAAATTTTCCCAGATATAATCATGTCTATAATTTATTTCATTTCTACCCCATCTTTCTCCTCAGTGGGGACCCAAAGCAGCTTCAAGCATCATTCTACTCTCCTCTGTTTTTATGCTAACAACTCCTCAGTGATCAAGATGATTAGTCTGTCTGTAGCAGTAGAAAAGAGCAAGTTGCACCTTAAAGACTAACGAAATATGTGGTAGGGTATGAGCTTTCGTGAGTCACTGCTCACTTCTTCATACCAGTAGGCAGTGACTCACTAAAGCTCATACCTTGCCACATATTTTGTTAGTCTTTATGGTGCTACTGGACCCTTACTGTTTTCTATATCTCCTCAGTGAGGTAGGTTAGCCTGAAAGAAAGTGACTTAGACCCAAGGTTACCCAGCATACTTCTGTGACAAAATAGGGATTTGAACTTGCATCTCCCAGATCCCAGTTCAACATCCTAGCTACTGCACCAGTCCTAGAAAGTCAGTTCGTTGAATCAAGAAAGAGTACAGTATTGAAGTGTGTAGTATTTTTGACACTTCCATTTAGACGTTTGTCTTTGTTGCATAGTACTAACTTCATACTTGCATGTACATACCTCTCTGGAGAGGTCTGTCATCGTCATGCTCCCCACTGAAGTTAACAACCCATTTATGGGTAGGTAAAGTGGATGGGAGGATAGTACTGCATAGTTTCTTAACAGGGGAAATTTATTGTGCAGTCCTAAGCAGGTCTATGCAGGATCTTACTCAGGTCTATTCAGTGGGGCTTACTCCCAGGAAAGGGTTAATAGAGTGCAATCCTATGCAGAGTTGCTCCAGTTGATTTCAGTGTGCTTAGGCTGAAGTAACTGTGCATAGGTTTGCACTCTAAAAGTCCAGAAGTCTGTGCACCGGCTTAGCCCTGTGGATCTGACTAGATCACTGATGCCCTACCAGTTCTGACAAAGGAACTAAGAGGAAGGGCCCTAAACATTCTGATCTTAAATATAGCTCTGATTCTCTTCTTACAGTGGAAAAATGGGCAGTGATTTTTAAAGGAAAATAGTACATATTGCATACAAACAAGATTATAGCAGTAAGACTATGAAAAAAATGTTTGGGACCAATTGATGAAGAGTTTGACTGCTTTTTTTTGGGGGGGGGTGAAGTAGGTAACTGTGATCTTAACAAGAATTGCTGCTATGGCCCTGACCTGAATAGCCCAGGCAAGCCCGATCTCGTCAAATCTCAGAAGCTAAGCAGGGCCAACCCTGGCAAGTATTTGGATGGGAGACCTCCAGAGAATACCAGGGCTAGGAGGCCAGAAGCAGGCGATCAAGCCACTTGTCTCAGTGTCCCAGTAGGAGTTGCCTGAGGTTGCCATGACTTCCAGGTGTGGACACACACACACAAATGCAAAAGTACAAAAAATGCTGCTAAGCAAAGAATGGTAGAAGGCAAAGTTTCAAAACAGGATGAGCCGTTTCAGGTAAGCTTTTATAGACTAGAAATTCAGGCGAATAATGGCTAGTCTATGCGTGCAGCACAGTGAGGTGGCAGAATGCTGCAGCTGAAAGATCTACATTTGTTTCCAAATTTCTCCTGAATTAATAATTCTGTTTGTGGAAGATTATCATATATAAGAAGAACTAGACTAGAACCTTTATCTCTGATGGGGAGTTTTTACATGGGAAGGCATTATGTTACCTTCATCGATCCGAAGTGGTACAGCTCATTTTGCTACCTTATTCATGTGTATATCAGGCCTAAGATGCCATGGTTATGGAAACATGGCTGACCACAATACTGGAATTAGCAAAAGATGAGTTTACAGTATTCAGTATTCCAGTTTTTTCCCACCCACTTAACTTGTTTTGATAACTTATAAATGCTTGTGGGTTTTTTGGCATTGTAACCAGCTCATTGCAGTCCTGTTTGCTGTTTTGGGGTTTTGTTTTTTAATCTCCCTCTTTTTTGCAAATTGCTTGTTTGCTTATACTGTAAAAGATACATTATGCTGATGGCTTTCTCTGAAGTTATTTTGCTGGTATGGTTGTGTAACCACCTTTTATTAAACTACTTTATTACTTTTTCTTCCTCCACTGGTCTTTTTGGGACAGATATTGAACTGCTGGCAGCTTGCAGAGAAGAGTTTCACAGGCGGCTAAAAGTTTACCATGCTTGGAAGTCCAAGAATAAGAAGCGCAATGCAGATGCAGAACAGCGAGCTCCCAAATCAGTTACTGACTACGGTGAGGGAAGATTATTTTTCTAAAAATGCTGAAAAAGTTGCCGGGGGACGGGACGGGACACATAATGTTGTGAAAACTGCCTAATATCAGGCTGATGGAAATGCTGTGCAAGGATCTTAAGAATAAAGTGTTCCATGGGGTGTTCTAAAAGTCAGCTCATGCCGACCCTGCCTGCCATCCTGTTCAGCTTAGAGCATAGTGAGCCCCAAGTGGAAAGGAGGAGCAGTGCACAAATGATGAAAGGTGTGCAGCAAGTTATGGTGGAAGGGAAATGGGACAAACCAGGGCAATCTTTCTCAGAAGGAGCTACTGTCTTAGTGATACTAGTGGATGGGTGAGCAAAGCCCCTTTCAAGCTTTTTCAGTTTAACTCTTTGCCCTTTTCACCCTAGTTATTACATGATGCAAACTAGTGAGCATCAGTTCCCACCTATGTTGGAGCCCCACGGATCTGCTGTTATCCTCAGCAAAATTGAGATTTCAGCTTTCCTTGGCATGTGTAGTAATTCACACTAATGCCACTGCCAGACATTCAATACCTAGAAATATTGAAGTCACTGGAATATATATATTGTTGTTGTTCAGTCGCACAGTCGAGTCCGACTCTTTGCGACCCCATGGACCAGCTCCCGCCAGGCCCTCCTGTCTTCCACTGTCCTCTGAAGTTGGCTCAATTTCATGTTCGTTGCGTCGATGACACTGTCTAACCATCTCATCCTTTGCCGTCCCTGTCTTCTTTGACCTTCAATCTTTCCCAGTATCAGGGGGTGTGTATGTATGTATGTATGTATGTATGTATGTATGTATATATATATATTCTTAGCTATTTGTTGCTGTATTTACTCAAATACAAGACTAGGTTTTTCCCCAGGTATGCTGTCAAAGAAAGAAGAAAGGGGGTATCTTAAATTCACTTACAAGTTATAGTTACATTCAGGTGGGGCAGGCGTGTTGGTCTGGAGCAGCAGAACACGGAATCCAGTGGCACCTTTAAGACCAACAAAGCTTATGCTGTGAAGTTGTAGTTACGTCAGATAATAATTTGTGTGTGTGTGTGGGTTGGGGCCAGGTTATCTTATATTTTGGGTCATTTTGAGTAAATACAGTATAAGTAATAAGTTGTAAATATTTTAAAAAATGACCATTTACTTTTTTAGAGAGGCAGAAATTATTGGATTTTATGCTTTGTAACTTATGAGGCTGTTATATTCTTCAGATAAAATGTTCAGATATTTAATATACCTGCAAATTCTGCCATTGTTATAATTACAGCAGTATCGAATAAGTGATTTACTTATGTGAACAGCCTCTGTTTCATTGTGGAGAAGAGAAGTGTCTAGGTCAGATTTGGCACCCTGTCTCAGACTGCTTGCTTTTGTCTCCTAGGGCAGGGTCTGAACTTCTTCACTGGCGAACTAGGGAAATGCCTCACTAGAAGAATTGAGGCTTGGGTCATATGATAGAGTTCGATGTGTTTCAGATAACCTCTATCCTGGAGCATGCTTCCTATTCTGCTAGCACTTCATTTGCACCAGGTATCCTTGAAAACCATTTATCTTGCACAAATGGAGCTGCAAGAGCAAGCGGAAGCACACTCCACTGCAGTGGCTGTCTAGCGCACATGGACCTTATTGATAGGAGCCAAGCCACCAACATTGATTCACACACTTCTACAACTGCACACAGTAGCATTTCACATCTCACCTGGAACTGTTTGAGGGAGATGAAGATCACAGAGTGTTGGGCACAACTTTCTGGCCTCTGTCAATAGATCTACTGATTCCCTTCCTTGCTACAATCTTGTCTCATGTGGGTTTTTGTCCATACTAGTCTTATAATCCCTGGTAAAGAATTGGAGTCAGAAAGCTATCTTAACCCTCTGGGTGCAGAAATAAAGGGGTGAAATCCAACCCTTTATTTCCAGTAATCCAATTCTATATAAGTGAACTGTTCTATTTGTCACTTGCTTGTGGTACACAATTCATTGAACGACTGAAAATGAAACCTTCACAAAATTGAAATGTTTTTATGGTATTTTCAGTATTAAATGTTTGTTTACAGATTTTGCACCATTTATGAACAACTCAAGTAAGTGGGGGAAATGGTTTAATTTCAGCTTTAATTGTAAAGTTACTTGAATTTTAAAATATAGTGCTAACAACAGTGTTTTGCTATACTGGTATTAAGTCAAGGTACATTCAGGGATTTTGTTGTCTAAAAGTATTCATGAGCATGCCAAGATATTCAGATTCTTTTAGGAATATTAATTATAACAAGGAATATTTTTTTCAAATTTTATACATTATATACCTTACTACTTGCTCCCACTGAGTATCTGTTCTTCTGTCATAGCAAAACACTACAATAGTTAATCAACTAACACTTTAGAACAAAAATTAACACTGGTGTGCTAGTATTAGAAAGAAAATAATATTTTTAGCTATTACAGAGGGAAAGGGATTTTGTTCACGATGCAGATTAACTTTTGGATGGGTCTGGGTTGTTCGTTGGGGATGAGGAAAAAAGACTTTGCCTTTAAAATACGAGGAAATTCTTAGTTCTCATCAGCAGTTCATTGTGGGGGCCTCCATTTTCTAGTATATACATTGAGCTGATTAACAGAAATGAATCATTGTACAGGCCGTTAACTTAAATGAAAGTTAACAGGCCTCTGAATTCTCCCAGATAAAATGTATTGGGCTCTTTATGCTGATGTCAACTGATAAATGTACTGCATAATTACAACGAAAGACCAATTAGTGCATAAAGGTCTTTTTTGCTCATTTTCTTTTTTTCTTTCTTTCTTTTTTTGTTCTCTGCTGATATTTGTGCTGGGGAATCTTCCAAGCAGTTATTGCTTTATACTCTTGGCTAAACAGTTCTTATTTCTGTATGTACAACCATAATATTTGTTAGGTCAGGAGACACTTTTCTGTTCTATTTTCCAATGCTTAGTCCATAAATATGGAAAAATAAATGAATCACTTGTGACAGCAGTTGCTTTCATATTAATTTAACCAGAATCCATAACCAGATTCACTACTTGCTGGCTGGCTTATGTTTAGAAGACTTCATGGTTAATTATTCCTCTTATATTGAATGACTGTGTGCTCAGTTGATCACAGAAGACCTGAATTCTTAACATCTGCTTTTTTGAATGAACTGTCAAGGTTAAGAGTTACACTCTTATATAAACGTAGGCATGATAGAACTGATTTTACTGGGATAAGTGGCTGGCTGCCTGCAAAGATACAATCAAGTACAAAGTACTGGCTTCAATTACCATCGTATGTAGCCTTTTTGAATAGTGGATGACCTCACTCAACATGCTTTTTCTTGTGTATCAGACACCCTAAAATGCTATAATGAGCTCTTAACCTTTTCAGTGATCAGTTTTAAAATGGCGTTTTTACCAAGTTCAGGACTTTACATTCCCCTTCTGCCTTAGTATGCAGAATGGAAAGTAAGCCAAGAAGAGATGCTATTTCTTGGCTTGTCCCCCATCTCAATCTCCCCTCCCCCCATCTACCACAGTGGCTTACTTAGAAAACTATAAAATCATTTGCTATGAACATTGTCCTATATTCAAGGTTAGGCAACTAATGTTTTATGTTGGTGACTGTAGTGTTGGTTTTAATAACTGAAGAATGTTCTTACACAAGCCAGTATGGCAGTATCGTTTGGTTTAATCCTAGTCAAGAGGCAGTATAGTGCCATTGGCAAGTGATCACAGCCACAGTCCTTACAGTACCCACATAACTATTGCCATTGTAATTAATTAATAATCATTGTATGGCATGGTGTGTAGCATAGCCAGGAGATCCTAAGATTGTTTGGCAGCCAGAAGTTCTAACTCGTTAGTGTTATATACCACTAGGTGGCATCCTAGACTGGTTTTTAAAGCAAGAGACATTTCAGAGGTGGTTTGCCTGTATACTGCCTCTGCGTCACGACCCTGGTATTCCTTGGAGGTCACTCTTCCAAATACTAGTCACGACAGACCCTGCTTAGCTTCTGGGAGCTTTGGGGGCAGAGCCCCCCCCCATGAGCCCTGCCCCACCACCTGAGGATGCCAGACACCCCCACTCCCCAATGTGCCTAGCCCAACAGCAGCAGGAAGGCTGGGGAAAGAAAGGGAAGCCGCCCTGCAGCTTCTGGTCAGTTTCACTCCTGTGGATCAGCTGTTAGGTTTAACGACTGCTTGGACGGGAGTGAGACTGACCAGAAGCACCTCTGGGCTGCTGCAGGGGGCTGGGGATGGAAAGCTGCCCTGCCCCTTTTGGTCAGTTTCACTCCCCTCTGATCAGCTGTTAGACCTAATAGCTATTTGTCAAGGAGTGAAACTGACCAGAAGTTTCAGGGCAGCTTTCCATTTCTTCCCCAGCCTCCCCACGGCTGGGAGGGGGGCTGGGGAAGGAGAGAGAGAGAGAGAAGGCATGACTCCTCTTTCTCTCTTTCCTTCACTCCCCCCCCCCAGCACCTTGGCCCCTGAGCAGATTCCTCAGTGTGCTCCTCATCCCAGTGAGGTGCAAATGAGAGGAAGCAAAACAGCTTTCCCAAGGAACCACAGACTGGTGAAATAATTTGAAAAAGAGGCACAGGGGCCTATAATAAATGTGTGCCATCAAGCTGAAACTGACTTTTGCCATCCCCCAAGGGGGGTTCAAGACAAGAGATGAACAACCACAATTCATGTTTAAAGAGGTGCTGCAAATATTTCATGTTATTGTTAAAGCAAGCAAAAAAGGGTTGGAGCCGCTTAAAGAGCCGCTGCAAGTAAATCATATTTTTTTAAAGCAATCAAAAAGTCCAGTTTTCATTTGATGGTGGGTCAAAACAGGGGTGAAGAGCTACAAATACAATTCAGGTTTGAAGAGCTGCAATTCATGTTTATTTTATTTTAGTTTTTATTTGATGTAGCGTCTGCCCCACAAGCAAAAAAATTCCTGGCTACGGGTCTGGGCCAGGGCATTGTGATTGTGAAGCAATTCAATAGCATTTCAGGACATGTTTAGAAACTATTGCTTATTTTCACTTTCAAAAAATCAATATGTATTCAAAATTTTCATGCTTTTGGTACAGAGCCAACAAAGGTTGTGGTATTTGACTGACTATGAGGCTTATCTACACATTTTAACATTGATTATCCTTAATAGCGCAACAGAACCCAACAAGTCAATTATCTGCCAAACAGCAGGAGACTGAAATGAACCGACAGCAGCGTTACTTCCGTATTCCTTTCATCCGTCCAGCGGACCAGTACAAAGATCCCCAGAACAAGAAGAAAGGTTGGTGGTATGCACATTTTGATGGACCATGGATTGCTCGTCAAATGGAACTCCATCCTGATAAACCACCCATCTTGCTAGTGGCCGGTTAGTATACCTTTTTTTTAAAAAGTGTTTAATGTGGGCTAAAAATGGAGTTATAAAATTGGTTTGGTGGCTAAACAAAGGCAGTCAAAACCTTAACTGTGTTGAAGCCAAAAAGGAGTTCAAATGAGACTGCTTATGAAGTTTTAGCTGTAATGATACAGAAACACAAAGCCAAAGATTTTTATTCAAAGAACTAACTTTGATCACTGTTGCACAAATAAAAATGAAATCACTGAGTCAATAGCTGAAAATTTTGTGCTTCATAATCCCTGATGGTGACTTCACATAATAAATCTCAAACCTTGTGTATACAGATTTTAAGGCTGACCACGATTTTCGTGTCCACATATATTTGTAAGTTGTTACCTTGATCCTCATTTGCTAAGTGCTGGCATTGTCATAATACATACTGTGAAGTGCAATGACAGATATTATAGTGTGCTTAGAATTTTTTTCCTTTAGTTTGTTGAAAGTTATAAGAAATGCATCCGTTTCTTGTGATTAGTGAGGTAGTGGTTGGTTTATCTGTACTTCTTACAAAATACTGAATTAGGAGTATATGTATGGTTATATATAACTGTCACTACCTTACTGGCCTTTATGAGGTACTACTTTGAGATGTGTTTGACCCAAAGTTTGATACTTTATTTATTGAGAAATAAAATAAAGGTGTTTTTTTTAAAAAAAACAACAACAAAGAACAAAACCCTAGACCTCTGAGCTGGACGCAGAAAAAAGAAGAAGTAAATAATTGCTCGACTTCTCCCAGTAGCCTGCTCTATGTCCCAGAAAAGTTCTCTCAAGTCCATCAGACGCTCTTATGAACCATAGTTGAAGGAGCTAAAAAGAGAGAATTTTAAGGCTGACCACGATTTTCGTGTCCACATATATTTGTAAGTTGTTACCTTGATCCTCATTTGCTAAGTGCTGGCATTGTCATAATACATACTGTGAAGTGCAATGACAGATATTATAGTGTGCTTAGAATTTTTTTCCTTTAGTTTGTTGAAAGTTATAAGAAATGCATCCGTTTCTTGTGATTAGTGAGGTAGTGGTTGGTTTATCTGTACTTCTTACAAAATACTGAATTAGGAGTATATGTATGGTTATATATAACTGTCACTACCTTACTGGCCTTTATGAGGTACTACTTTGAGATGTGTTTGACCCAAAGTTTGATACTTTATTTATTGAGAAATAAAATAAAGGTGTTTTTTTTAAAAAAAACAACAACAAAGAACAAAACCCTAGACCTCTGAGCTGGACCCAGAAAAAAGAAGAAGTAAATAATTGCTCGACTTCTCCCAGTAGCCTGCTCTATGTCCCAGAAAAGTTCTCTCAAGTCCATCAGACGCTCTTATGAACCATAGTTGAAGGAGCTAAAAAGAGAGAGGGGGAAGTAGATGATCCCTAGTTTGAGGGGGAAGGCAGGGAAAGATCCATTCACCCAACTCAGTGTCATTATTACCTTAGAGTCACTTGTTTTGTCCACTTAGTATTAAACTGGCTATTTAACACTGTACCGTCATTTCTCTGAAGCCAAACACTGGGTTTTCTAGTTCAGTAATCTAGTCCTATTATATTGTTTATATCTTATGCTGTCTGACTGAATTGTTCTTTATATTTTGTAATCTGCCTTCAGGAAATAAACTTGCATTCAAAAGTCTCCCAAGTTACACCAGCCATTTACAATTCATGGGTTCTCTGAGCTGAAGTGGTACTATAGAACACTATGTAAACAGGGTTTCTGTTTGTGTATGGAACTTCATGTGCTAGTTCATGAGCTGCGGTGGCTCAAGTGGTTAAGATGCTGAACTGCAGGCTGTGGAAGGTCAGTAGTTCAGCAGTTCGAGACCCGGGTGCCGCATGAAGGAGTGAGCTCCCATCTCTAGTTCCAGCTCCTGCCAACCTAGCAGTTCGAAAGCAAGAAATTGCAAGTAGATAAATAGGTACCACTTCGGTGGGAAGGTAACAGCTTTCCGTGCGCCTTGGTGTTTAGTCTTGCCGGCCACATGACCACGGAAACGTCTTTGGACAGCGCTGGCTCTTCGGCTTTGAAACGGAGATGAGCACCGCAACCCTAGAGTCGAATTCGACTGGCTTTCAAGCAAGGGAACCTTTTTATTCATCCCCACCGAAGTAAAAGGAGAAGTCCCTGCTTGTATAGATCCCCATTGAGGTGTTCAGTTCGGGAAAGTGTAGATTGCATTTTGCCACGCTATAGGAAGTGGACAAGGGGGACATGCTAAACTCCATCCATTGTTTCATTACATGTGGTGCTCCTAGTTGCAGAGGACTCAGCCCAGTGTTCCCTCTAAGCTGAGTTAGTGTGAGCTAGCTCACCGTTTTTAAGCCTCCGGCTCACACGTTTTTGTCTTAGCTCAGGAAGGATGGCTCCAGAGCACACTAATTTATGCAGTAGCCAAATCGCTTGCTCACAACTTTAATGCCAGTAGCTCACAAAGTAGAATTTTTGCTCACAAGACTCCGCAGCTTAGAGGGAGCATTGGTTGCATGCTAAGGTATACCAATGAGTGAGGACTTTACCACATGAGCTTCCTGTCCAAGATGGGTGTAAGCCCAGCTGATTCAAGTTGAATGTACAACCAAGACCGAATGACTATAAACACTCTGTATCACACACACAATTTTTACAGAGACTTTGTGTGATTCAGTCAGGTTCATTCATCTCCCATGATATGCTGCAGGGCACGCACAAATGACAACAGCAGAGCCTTCAGCATTTTGCAATGGGGATCTCAGGCAGACCTTGGAATAATAGGGGTTTTATAAGCATTAGAGTATAGGTCAGGAATAGTATGAAAAATACATATCTGTAACCAAAACCACTTGACTGAACAAATTTAACAGTACACGTGATGTACAGTAAATTAGTATTGTTGCTGCTGCACCACCAGGCTGATTGGGCCCTCGTGGCAATTTCTTTAAACTGGCATTGGTGGCCACAGGTTGGACCCATTTCCACTGTAATGTGTGGTTTGGGTCAGAGTCTGCCTAGGATTGCACTGGTAATGTGCTTAATAAAATCACAAGCCACTTAACTTTCGTCAACACAAACACTTGGACATTTTTCAGAGAGGTGGCTTGGTTAGCCTGCCTCTGCGTCCCACCTTTAGTATTCCTTGGAGGTCGCCCTTGCAAGTACTTGCCAGAGTCGGCCCTGCTTTGCTTCCAGGTTCTGACAGGATCAGGCTTGCCTGGGCTATCCAGGTCAGGGCACATAATTTGGAGCAGTCTTTATGTGGCAGAAACGATGGTTTCATGTTGTATATTTTGTAAAACTGAAGATGTTCTTGTTTTTTCTCTGTTTCAGGCAAGGATGACATGGAGATGTGTGAGCTCAATCTTGAAGAGACAGGCTTGACTCGCAAGCGTGGTGCTGAAATTTTACCAAGGCAGTTTGAAGAGATCTGGGAGCGCTGTGGGGGCATCCAGTACCTTCAGAATGCAATTGAGAGTAAACAAGCTCGGCCTACTTACGCAACTGCTATGCTGCAGAACTTGTTGAAATAAAGTAGTCACTTTGCACTGTTTGCAACTGGCAGTTGAGAGCTCCTGCTACCTTAAGAATAAAGGGAAGGGTTCCTCTGAGCAATAGAGGACACTTAAAACATTCCGTAATTTTAGACAGATATTTAATATAAAGTAAACAGGTTTTATTAATCATGACGGTTTTTAATTATACTTCTGAAGTTTTGTGTAGTGAATTCATGACTTCTGTCTAAGCAAGTGTTTCAGTCGCATACATGGTTTGCTTTTTGTCCATATGCTGATCCTTCCCTTTAGTGTCTTGCATAACACTAAGAATACTATCATGTAAGTAACACACTACTGGGATCTAAGCACATGCTATTATGAATCGCTTTTTGACTTCATGTCATAACATACTTCCATTTAACAGGAGGTTAATTTCTGGAAATTTAGTTTCATCAGGATAGTGTAGCAAAAAGATAACACTGCATCTTACAACTGGAATTGTGAGGCCTTAACTTTAACTTCTTTTGTGGAGAAGTTAAAGCAAACTTTTATAAGGTGAAAGACACTATGTGCTGATTTTTGAAAGTTGCTCAATATGCTCGATACATGTATACCTTTTGGGCAATGTGTTATTGGGAGATGTGTCTTAAGTAGAATGCAGATTTCACCGCAGTCTTGGGGAGCAGGATGCATGAGTTTGTAGTACTTTAGCAATGGAGGCATTGGAATATTTGAATTCAGACGTAAGCAGTTTTTGTTGGTTTTGCTTCCCTCCTTTTAAAACTCTCCCCCCCACACACACACAATATGAATGTATTGAGGCAATTCATTTTTATTTTCCCATCACAACATTCTTGGAAATGCTTTTTTGATTTATCCAAGTAAAATTAAGTTAGATATTATTTTACAAGTATTACCTAAAGTACATCTCTAGCTCCTCTGAGGACTGAAAGCATAAGGGAAATGTATTCTGTTTTCCAAGGCTGCAGAATTGTATAGACTGAATTCAGTAGTTCCTTTTCTACTTCAGTGTGATGCACATAGATTAGATGGCTTCTGTCAGAATTTTTCAAACCATTAATAAGTGGTGCAGCAGTGAAACATCTAATTACAAACCTATGGTGCTTCAAATAGTCTAATTCCATAAAGTTAAAGTGGTAAAACTTTCTCTTCTAATCTTACAGACCTTTTCAGTAACTAATCTCTCTTTCTTTCTCCTTTTTTGTCACAATACCTTTGATGGTAATTAAAATTCTTATGTATGGGGATTTCTTGTATCACACAGATTTAAATTGCCTTTACTGATAAAGCTGGATAGTCCCAATGTTGGGCGAGCATCAACAGAGTAAGCCTTGCTGTTATCTCCGTGTTAGGAGCTCTGGGAAAGCAATACTGGGGAAAAATACAGGGGGGAAATCACTTTGGAGAAGTGAAGAACAGAGTTGTTCATTATTATATTTGAAAGTGTAATTACTTTCCTAGGCTTTAAATATTTAAAACTTCAGATACATTTTCTATAGACACTGTTATTGCTGCTTTATGGCAGAACCAATTCATTGGCAAAACTATTCCCCACACTGTAGTAACTCTAAAACAAAGTGGCTAGCTTCCCCTGTGACTGCCAGGGTGGGTTTTTTTGGAGGAGGGGTTCAGAGAGGAAGAGTTGGATAGCATGTGAACACTGAACATATTTTTAGGCTTGTAGTCTTATTGGAAATGGGAACGAATGAGTATGTCAGAAAGGTAACCAGTTCTAGTGCATGGCCTAGGAAATCAGTCCACAGTTCCAAGAACACTAACCCACCAAGTGGATTATTGGCAGCTGGTCACCATCATGTGGAAGGTGTCATTCAAGTGCTCACCCCCCACCCCCAGCAGTTGATTGGCACTGCCAAATATGTCAATACCAACTGAGGTCCAACATGCAGTTTTGATCCAGCAATTGGAATAATGGCTTAGGTGCAAAGAATGTCTTCCTCAGTGTGCAGTGCATTCTGTAAAAGATGGCAGGGTATAACTGTGTTAATATAATTTGTAAATAACTAAAGTACTTCTGCTTGCTTAAGTGGTAGGCTCTAACGTACACCCATTCTGTCACTGTTGCAACCCCTCATGCAACGATCAGCTATCATTCTGGAACATCCCCTAACCTTTGGCAGCAGTTTTTTGAAATGAATGCTGGTTGCTGCAGAGGGGAGGGTGTAGGAAAGTCTGTCTTTGCAACCAGAATTCCCTCTATGGATCTTAAAATCCAGGCCAATTTGTTTGGGGTTCTGGTATGTTTCTTCTTTCAGTGCTTTTGCATATATGATGCTTGGCACAGAGGTAAATTGTGCCTAGCCCCAGAAGTTTACTTCTGCACTTGGAAGAATCATTATCATCTTTATTAGATCAGGATGATGCAGTACAATTTGAGTGTCCTATTAAATTACTCAGATGGATACATGTCAGATTGAGAGCATGGTAAATCAAATCCTCAAGCTACTATGTGATAGCCTGTGTGAGAGAGATGCTAGTTTAATGAAATCATTGGCTTCACAAGTTTCTCCAATACTTAACACTATCTCTGTTGTTCGGTTACATTTTCCTTGCCTTTTTACAATTAATGCCCTTGCCTATAGTTAAAACATTGGAGATGGTAGCCCCAGCTGAGCCTTTTAGGCAATGAGGAATTGATTCAATGTTACCATGTGAGATTTTCTCACCTCCCAATTCCCTGTTCAGATAAAACAAAAATACATTTTGAGTTACGAAATTCTCCCTATTTTAAATGTGATCTGATGTCCTCTGTGTCCTCCTCATCTGGTGTATGGGACAAAGCGTTCAGAGGGACCATCTCTTATAGTCAAGCAGCACCCCTGTTAGAAATGGTAGACCCATATAGAAAGTATGGAATGGATCCTGAGATCTGGGAACAGCACCTTCTGCTGCAGCTCACCAGAAGTATGGCGGGGGTAGGGCTCAGAAATGCAAGGAGATGCTGTGCTGAAGTGTGTGTGTGGGGGGGGGGAGGGAATCTGTGGAATTCAGGGACTCTCCCTTGTGCAAGTAGAAACACATCACTCATACAGCAAGGGTTTTGGACAATACTGTCTCTTTTTCCTTTTTAACATCTTTTCTGGCCATTACTTGCATGTTTAAAAGAGACAAGCTATGGTTTATATATGTGTGCACCATTCAAAATTGATGTTTGTACTTGGGTATATTGAACCTGTGTGCAAAATACCTTTTAGGAATTGGTCTTTAAATACTACACCAAATAACGCCTGGCATTATTTTGGAATTAGTTGGTTTGGTGAATACCACCTTTTCACCCCCACATGAGCTGGCATGACACAACAGTGTGAGAAAATTAATTGAAAACAGTCATTTATTTCTTAAAAGGAAACGTCCTGAGTTTTCTGTTGCAGGTAGATGTTCTCTCTTGCTTTCCCACTACTTCTGTTTGGTGTAAATGCCCTAGATCAACTAAAGTAAGCATGCACAAATGTCACTTGATTGTCCTTGAACATCCTGTGTTTCAGGAATTCTGCCTATGGCATTTGACCTCTGATGGCTCTTTTACATGTGCAGGTTGCAGTCGTGGGGTGATGAATATGCAGCTAGCTATGAATGTATCTCAGTCATAGGATGTAATGATCCCAGTCAGCCAGGCTTGTACACGGCTTAATACCATTTACATTCCATTGGGAAGCTGCTTATCTTCTGTAGTTCTATCTGTTTTATCTCTGGGCTGTTTTCCATTAAAATATTTTCAAGAACTTTATCAAATGACCTTAATTATGTACTGAATATTGCAGCAAAATAAATAGTTTCTTGAGCTGTCTAGAATATTATTTAAGCACTTACAGGAAACAATTGAAAAGGTGTGAAATACTTTAATGTTGCATTTATTTTCTCCATGTATCAATTAAAACGAAGAACATTTCATATTAAAAATACTTGCTATTAAACACTATAAGCTGTTTTATAATATAGTTAATTGGGGGGGAAGAATCCCACAAATTAATATTTTTAGATTGCTTTTTCCTTCAAGAGCAGACATGGGTATTTTCTTCCCTCACAGTTTCCCCCACCAGCTGCTTAGCTACCTAGAGAATTTATGGGGCAGAAGGAACTTAGGTGAGAAATCTGCTTATGGATCTACAGCTTTACCTTTAGTTTGGCCTATAGTTACTGCTACCTCTAGCTGGTTAAATTACAGGTTTTACTAAGATTATGAAACATTTTTATTACTACTCCTTTAATAGAGGAGATGCCCAAACAAAGCTCCCACTCTCCTGGCTTTATGCAAGAGATACAAAACTGAATGATTCAAGAGGGCTTCTCTATGCAGGCAATAGGATTGCACTGTACAAAATGCTTCAGAAAATTACTTGGATGAATTCTGAGGGACTGTGGTCTACACTGCTATGTATAGCCCACTGTAAGCAGGATGCCACTGTGTATTTTTTGCATCATTTAATGTGTCATTTGAATACGAAGGTTCTGCTTCAGTTCTGTCTTTAGATTACTGGTTAGGATTGCCAGCTCTGGGTTGGGAAATACCTGGAGATTATGGGGATGGAGCCCGAGGAGGGCGGGGGTTCAGGGTCATAATGCCATAGAGTCCAACTTCCAAAGCAGCCATTTTCTCCAGATGAACTGATCTCTGTCACCTGGAGATCAGTTGTAATAGGAGATCTCCAGCCACCACCTGGAGGCTGGCAACCCTATTACTGTTTGGTTCTATTACCCTAATCTTACTCCACTGTTTATTGAATATCCCATCCTGTAGACTTTATTGACTCACTCTCTATAATTTGCCTTGAGTCCAAGTGAGAAAAGTGGACTATAAATAACAACAACAAAAAAGTGTTTAACGATCACACAGAAGCATCTTGTGGTAAAAACACCATAGATACAATTTCTCAACACGTTTTTCAGTTAAATAATTTTATTGAAATACAAAACAGGCTCATGATATTTGGTAGTTAATATTTGATTTGATAAATTATGGTCAAGAACAAATGTGTCATTATTCAAACCACCATGTAAAAATAATTATTGCTTGACTAATAGAAATTGATATGAACAAACACATACAAAAAATAGTTCTGAAATGAAAGTACAGTGAGCAGTCTTAAATTACACAATTCCCAGTAATGCCCATTATGTGTTTGGGTCTCCTCCAGATGTATGCCTTAAGTGCTATCTAGACTGTGAAAAAGTTACTTGGCTTCATGTTTTCTGAACTGTTCTCTCCCCCCCCCCCTTAGTGGTTTATGCATTTATGCATAGATAATTGTGCTAGCATTGTAACCTTGAGATTACTGTCTCTTGGGGAGGTGTTCACCTCTAGCACAGTATCTACAAAGCATAGAAGTACAGCATGGTAGGCATATTTTCTTGACACCATAGAAGAATAAATAGATGAAGATTATCTCAGCCTTCCATATATTGACTCTGAGTAGTAATCACATGTGGAAAGCAATCTATTTTATTGCTTAGATAAGATCACAGGCTTTATCCGAGCTTTCCACAAACAGAAACAAATTTGCAGAAGAGCCTTTTTTCCTCTTTGCAGTCTTTCTTTTCTATGGTGCATACTGAAGTATGCTCAGAAATTGTGGGGAGGGGGTAGAAAGGTGCAAATGGAGAAAATGGCAAAAATCCTTCCCCCAAACTTGCTTTGTTTACAGGAATGCTCAGGTCCAACCCAATGCCTAAATGCACACAGGAAAGAGATTATTCAGGGTACCACAATTAAACCCAGAGCAGAAATGCACTTGATCCTTCAAGTAAAATGCTGTTTAGGAAGAGAATACACGCTAACTCATGGTAAGATACTGCTGTAGTGCATACCAGCCTGTGAGAAATGGTCCTAAGCATGTTTGTTTGAAATGAGTTGTGGCTGTGAAACATCTGTACAGGTGAGGGGAGAAGATGCTTGTGAGTTATGCTGTTCTAAATGATTTGAAGCAGGGCCTGTGCATCTCCCCTGTGAAAATCTGCTTAGGCTGCAGATATTCTAACATGGGTTGGAAGAAGAAACATGTATGACCCTCCCCCCCAGCTCACTTCAGAGATATTAACCTATTTTGATTGGGTGGGGGAAACCACTGGCTTGATTGAGTGGAGGCTTGTGCAGAGCTGAACACACAGAGAAGACCACCTTTTCAATACAGATGATGGGTGGAGTACCAAGGGGTGGGTTTTTCTCCCTCCCTATGCTGCATGTTATTCACTGTAAGTAAATGCTCCATGACAGTGGTCTGGCAGAGCTGCATTTGGAAATAATGAATGACTGATTTATTGCTACTGTAGATAACTGCAAACACTGGGCTTTTATATACAACCTAAAATGTCCAGATAGCTCCTGAAAAAAATACTGTATGGGAAAACTGCAATCCAGTTTATACTATGGAAAAAATGCCATGAATTGAGTGGCCATTATTTATATGATGGGTGTGTATTATATATAGTCACAGCTGGTTTAATGGGGGAATGCTAGGGGGATGAACCCTGACAACCAGCTCTAATGCTAAGCAGTTTCTAAGCTCTACTGAAAGTTTTAAATAAGTCCCCAATATCTTAAACAAGCATTTTTACTTCTAAATAGTTACCACATTACTATTGCCCCAGTAATTAACCTATGTGTCAGCCCCTTTACTGCCTTCAGTTTGGGAGATAATAACACTGATAGTAACACTTCCACCGTAGACTTCTGCACTGATACCTAAGCTTAAAAGTAACAAAAATATTTATCATATAAACACTGTACATTTATTAAATACATTTAGCACTGCATTCATGAATGGTAAAGGATATGGAATGAAGTTGGACAGTTCTGCAGAAAATGAGATGCACCCTTTTTTTGTAAGCAAAAATAAAAGCATTGGTTAGTATCTTCACTTTTATGGAAAAAAACCCATATTGGTAATTTTCTGAAGCTGTTGTCATTTCTTTGCTCTTCCCTGAAAACTTCATTTATCCTGAACAGCGTGCTTGAAAAATGCAAGTACTTGCCTTGCTGAAAACCTGTGGAAACAAAAAGCTTAGGAAGCATTTGACTAACATTTACTTGAAAGTCATCTAGAAATTTCCTCAGACTTTTGGAGAGTAAATTTCTGAAATGTAGTCATTCGGCTCTTCAACATTCTCATTTACCTTGCTTGTGTGTTCCTATTTCTTCAGGGGGGTTTCTTTTCTGCATGTGTTTTGCCCCTTCTAGTGGTTGATTCAACATTACATTGCTTTAAAAAGGTAAAGGTTCCCTTGCTCGAAAGCCAGTCGAATCCGACTCTAGGGTTGCGGTGCTCATCTCCGTTTCAAAGCCGAAGAGCCAGCGCTGTCCGAAGACGTTTCCGTGGTCATGTGGCCGGCATGACTAAACACCAAGGCGCACGGAACGCTGTTACCTTCCCACCGAAGTGGTACCTATTTATCTACTTGCAATTTCTTGCTTTCGAACTGCTAGGTTGGCAGGAGCTGGAACTAGAGACAGGAGCTCACCCTGTGAGGAAAATGAAAATCTGGAAGAGCCCTTTGTCCCATACTTCCAGGGTTCTTTGTCGATAAACGTTTCATACATTTGAGCTGTAGAGCCAAACCCAGAAGAGAACACTATGCAAAGAGATGGGGTCCCCCCCCCCATTTCTATTGATTTTTATTTCTAGGTACAATGTCTAGTGGTGTCCCATGCAGCTCACCAGGACCCTCTGACCCTGAGGAGAAGCTTTTGGGGAGATAAAGGGAATTGCAGCAGGAAAGGGAAGTAGTCAGTATTATCTATTCTGTGGGCATAACATTGCTTTTGGTTCACTGGATACAACCATTTTGCGAACAATTTTCCTGCACCCAACAGAGTTTATTCAAAGGTCACTTTCTGGCATATTAGTTTTACCTTCCCAACCACCTTGTGAGCTAGGGTAAGCAGAGAGGCAGAGTTGGTTCCTGTGACCTGTCAGTGGAAGGGACTGCCCATCACTAATCTTCCTGGCTTAGCTCCTTTCCCAGTAGTCCTTTCTGAACCTGTGAAGGTTTGTTCCTGGACTTGTGGGACCCACATACGGTAGGGAGGAGAAAGGGAGCAACATTGTGCTTTCTGCTGTTCTGACAGCCGACCTCCCCCCACTGCAGCCTCCTGATCTGCATGGCTATTACTCCACCAGTTGCACATGCCCCCGGGAATAAACTTTCCTGGAATCAGAAATGGCTGCTAGGGAAATAGGTGGCCCTTGCATGGTCCTCACGTGGTCCTGCCCTGCATCCATCCCAATATATGTTAAATGATACATTTCTGCTGAACAATGAAAAACATTTTAAAGGTTTGGTTTCTTTCGACATTCAATGGTAATATAAAACCAAAAGAGGTCTCTATGGTGGAACCAAGCTTCTATGGGCAGAGTGATCTCATGGAAATGTTTATACTGCTTTCCCTGATCTCCTTCCCTCTCCCCCAGCCTCATTCTGTGCCCTCCCCCCAAAGCCATGCATGATGAAAGACTTCAGGTACCATTGAGAATTGGAGAAAAGGTTCCACTGCTCTCTTACATGAGCAAAGTTTACAATAAAAGCTTGAGCTCTGCTTGTGTAAAAGCTTGGATTCGCCCAGCTGCTCTCCACTGCAGCCCCCTTGATCACATGGCATTTCTTTCTGAAAAGCCCTTCGGCTGTGGCTCTTTGAAGTTTTCAAAAGACGACAGGAAGGTCATAATGGCCTCTGAACTCTTTTCCCCCAGAAGCCTTGGGTCCAAGCCATTATCAACAGTGATGGTGTTATGCAAATTTCCACAAACCTTTCCCCCCCATCTGGCTGTTGGAATCCAGGGCTTCAAATACTAACTTCTCAGTCGTTTTGAGTCTGGTGGCCTGCAGTGGAAAACAAGGGTAAGTGTTTGCTGCCCGTTACACAAGCTACCGGTGCCAGCAAGAGAGAACAGACATCACCGTGCAGAAGGGCCATCAGATGAGCTTCAGTAGTTGAATGTTTGGCTACGAAACTGCTACAGAGACATCACAGATTATTAGTGTTGGTGGGATTAGTATTTTTAGTTCTGGAATACTGAAGGCAAAATTAGATGATAATTTAAAAAGTTGATTGTTAACAAGAACAATGTTACAACTCTAGTAAGTAGATGGAGGAGTTTCAGCATGCATTTTACCTCCACGCTCTCTTTGGTTTCTGTGATCTTGTAACGTTTCTTGATCAATGCTTTCTGATGAACTAACACAAGCACTTACACTACATGGCCCACGGCAAAAACTACTGAGGGGTTCATCATGATCAAAAACAGGATTAATTCTTACAGCAGTCTCAACGTTGCATCGGCTGAGAGAAGAATTTCTACAAGGCAGAACAGGTTTGTTTATGGTAAGGCTTCTCATTTGCAGCTTTAACAGGACAAAAGTTTGAAGGGAAATAACATTTTTAAGAAAGCGAATGAAGGGTTGAGCTGCTTACTCAAAATTAGGCTTGTTTTTGCATTTTCTTCGTAACTTAATTATTAAAGTGATGAGAAGAAAAATGAAGCATAATGAGCCAACTATCACAGCTTTGGGAACGATGGATCGGGGAGGTGCTGGAGCGTATTTTGCACAATGCTCTCCTCTGTTTCTATGTACGGGGCATCTAAAATGTGGAGGGGAGAGGGAAGCAAAGCAATATATGTAAAAATAAACCCAAGGGCAACGAAACCCTGCATCTATTCATCAACACCTTTCCAGTATAGGAGAAATCCTGCAAATAGGTGGAAAAATAGCTGTCATAAATTAAACGAAATGGATCACCTCTCAGCTAGTTTTCTGTGTGAAACAATATGATGACATGAGATTAAATCTCTTTATGGTCAATGCAGATGAACAAAGAACAACTGAACAGCGATGTTTCTTCTCCTAAGGTAAGGCGATCAAGTTGGCAGAGATACAGTCTCACTGAATCTGCAGAATTAATGTGGGCTTCTATGCCTAGAGCTTTCCACAGGGCTGGTTCATAGGTGAGGTGCCAAACAGCTAGCTATAAGCGAATGGTGCCATGTGTACCTCTGGTCAAAGGAAGAAGAGTATTGACAGAGCATACACACCGACTGTCATGATTGCAGCAATTGTGTGTAACACTACAAACAGCTGCTTAACAAATATGTCATCAGAATAAATGCCAGTTGTGTCCTGGTTCACATGATCTCCCATATGGAAACATGGCATAGGTGTCTTTCCTAACATATGCAGCATCATGCCCAGATGTCTGCCACAAATCAGAGCTCACGACCTGGTACTCCACATGCTCTCAACATAAGGAAAGGTGCTCTCAACATAAGGATTGTCTACTAGAGAAAACATTTTAGTACCTTCTCCCCCACCTCCAGCAAAAAGTGGATTACAAGGACAGGGGGCAAGATCTGTTTCAAAACTTTACAGTCAGTACTCCTCTAAAGGACTATAGGTGCATATGGGTTCATTTTTAGTCTAATTAATATACTAAGATTTCAATGAGGTATGGTTTCCTTAGTCTACCCATAAATATCAAATACGTTATGTGAAAATTACAGGCTAGTATTTTTGGTTATTGACTTTCAAAACAAGCTACACCTAAACAAAATATCTGAGCTGTAGATGTGATAATCAAAACTTGATGACAGGTGCCCAAAATTAGGCAAAAATATTTAATTAAATCCCACTCTACCTTCTGCTTCAGGATTACTATGAGGTAGGTTTTGATTTGTGACCCGTTTTGTGGCTGAGGGGGGTAAACAGTACCCTATGAACCGTTCATGATAAATGTAGAAACATAACATTGGTCCATCTGACTCAGTATTGTCTATTCAGACCAGCAAAGGTTCTCCAGGTTCTCAGGTAAAATGCTATAGTGGTACAGTTATTGCAGAGTAAAAATTGTATTTACAACAGTTAATTACCTACAGACGGCTCCTCTTCCTGGAACTAATTCACATTTGCCACCATTAATACACAGGTTTGGCTCAATCTCACACAGGCTACGGCATGGCTGTCCATCTTTTCTTACGTAACCAGGTTTACAAAGACAATCCGCCTCTTTTGTCCACTCATTCTTTATGCAGTGTGAGAATTCATCACATGCCATGAACTTGCAAGGGTCCGCTTGATCAGCTGTAATGGGAGGAAGAAATCTTTTAAACATGTTCATTGATGCATTGCCACAGTGTACTTGGCAAAACCCCAAAGCAACTAGCAAGTACCAGACAGGGTTGCCCCAGTGATACAGCAGAGCCACTGTGTCCATCATGAAAGCCTGTCTTGGAAGAAACAGAATCACCTCAGTTTGCGCCCACAATCTGTAATGATACATTTTAAACAGCCTGGCTTTTTACAGTTTTTCTTTCTCTTTTTTTTAAAAATCATTTTATTTTCAGTTTTCCATAACTTACATACATTTATCTCTTATTTTCTAACAATTCGGGGTTAGCATTACAACTTTTCTTCGTACCATTTTATTGCATTTTGCCATTTCTGTTTAAATTTTTCCTCTGATTTTCCCGCCAAAAACATATTCAACTTATCCATTTCAATTACTTCAAAAAGAATGCTAATCAGTTCTTCCTTACTCGGTATACTGTCAGTTTTTCTATCTGCAAGTGAGCCATATTTACTTTTGAGTGGAACTGAATAGTACAGAGAACTACATGACTGCCCGTTTATTTAGAAGCCAATGTCCTCAGGGTATGCAATCAACTTTTCTGTATTATAACGAATATCTGTGTGCGTATGTTCTCAGCATTTCCCTGGGAAGATATCAAAATGCATTGAGGATTTCTATTCAAAACTGTTTGAGCTCTCCTCTGCTTGGTGCGGCCTGTCCCTGGTTGTTTAATTGTTGTAAGAACCTTAAAAAAGGATTAAAAAAAACACCTTAGGATAAAAAAACTGGACTGCTGCCAGAATTCAAGGCCCATGTAATATCCCCATACAGACCTGATATGTTGTGTATTTTCCTGCCACAGTATGCAATGATGTAATGGGGAAGCACACATTTTAGCAAAGTCAGGACACAAGAGAAACTTGATGAAGGCCTGTTTGTTTGTTTTTTGGTGGTAGCAGCCCTCTATTACTCTGTCTAAATTGTGTAACAAAATTTAGACCCAGTGCAGATGACTGGCTTGACCATTTCCATTTCATAAAATATGTAGTTTTTCTGTTGTGTATAATCATCTCCTGCGAAGTTATTCCCCTAAGGAGTAGAGTTCCATGGCTATACTCGTCTTTGTCTTCCATGCTGCTTCTCCATGGTTTTCAGATTTCACAGTGTCAAATGTCATGTACGCTGCCTTTTTTGTCTTTTTAATTTTTAAAACAATTTTTGTTTCAGTTTGGAATGTTTGTTATTTCTTTCTTAAAAAACATGAATGGGTAGGTATCTCTGAAGTTATGTTTTGTGATGAATCTGTTGGATTTGTGCATATGCAGTTAATTTTGATCTTTCCCTCCATTTCATACTCGTGGTAAACATGAAGAAGAAGAAGAAGAGGTTGGATTTATACCCCGCTCTTCACTACCCAAAGGTGTCTCAGAGCGGCTTACAAACTCCTTTCCCTTCCCCTCCCCACAACAGACACCCTGTGAGGTAGGTGGGGCTGAGAGAACTCTGACACAAACTGCTCTTTTTCAAGGACAGCTGTGCCAGAGCTTGTAACTGACCCAAGGTCACATCAGCAGGTGCAAGTGGAGGAGTGGGGAATCAAACCCGGTTCTTCCAGATTAGAGTCCGCACACTTAACCACTACACCAAACAGCATGTGCCGAAAGAGCAAAATCCCTTTACTGAAAAAACTTGTATAAAATATGTATGTATACATATATATATGTACATATTAATTAAAAAACACATGACATTTAAGACATGGAATTCATTGCCACAGGAAGTGGTGGCAGCTACAAGCACAGACAGATTCAAGAGGGGACTGGATAAACATAGGGAGCAGAGCTCCATCAGTAGCTATTAGCCACATGGTAAAGATGGAACACTGTGTCTGGGGCAGTGATGTTCTGTATTCTTGGTGCTTTTGGTGATAATAGTAGGAAGGCTTCTGGAGTTCTGGGACCACTAGTGACACCTGGGTTTTGGCCACTGTGTGACACAGAATGTTGGACTAGATGGGCCATTGGCCTGATCCAACATGGCTTCTCTTATGTTCTTATGAAATCGGTTTGTTTTATAAAAACAAAGTACAAAATATAATAATAAGAAGAGATTTGAATTATACCCCTCCCACTACCTGAAGGAATCTTAGAGCAGTGGGGAATCAAACTCGGTTCTCCCAGATTAGAGTCCGTACTCCTAACCACTACACCAAACAGGCATATCAAAAATAGGGGTCTATTGTAAGCTGCAAATTGAAAACACTACCTGCAATCAGACTTCAGCTGATGTTATTTTGCGTCTTTTATAGCACTGGTAAGAGACTCTATTGGCCCTTTTATTTTGCATTGCTGGCTGTTATAAAATTATAAATGATCTGAATAAGAGCCACTCGAATCCGACTCTAGGGTTGTGGTGCTCATCTCTGTTTCCAAGCTGAAGAGCCAGCGCTGTCCGAAGACATTTCCGTGGTCATGTGGTTGGCATGACTAAAATCCAAGGTGCACGGAACACTGTTACCTTCCCACCGAAGTGGTACCTATTTATCTACTTGCAATCCTTTGCTTTCGAAATGCTAGGTTGGGTTTGTCTAAACATATTGTTAAATTCTTTCTTTGGATATATAAAAAGGCATAATTCTTTATTTTCTTCTGGATATTAATGTAATGGTCTTACACCATTAACAATCTCAGAAATTCCCCATTCCTTTCGTAGCTTTCCTCTTCTTCTTGATTTTCTGATTTCTCCTCTTAAGTTTTAAAGTCTTAATTTTGTGTCTTTTTTCCTTATAAGTGTAGAAATCTTCTGAGTATAAACATCTGTACTCAATCTTTAGAGTAGTTTGTAGATCCAAGTGTTGGTTTCTTTTGTCTCTCTGAGGTGACATGTGACTCCTTATTTTGGCAATTTCATCACTGATGGTTCTTTTTTAAAGTCTCTGGTACACATTTGTGGAAGTTTTGTTTCTCTTCATAGGTGCAAACTCTATTCTGTGGATCATGTCATCTTGATTGTAGGTTTCCTCAGTATCCTCTACACAGTCATGTCTTTTTTCCTCCTCGTTCCAGGCTATCTGAACTGTTTCCTTCTTAGTTTGTTGCATCAGCATTTCTGTTTCCTCTTGTGTAGGGTAAAAAATTTCGTTGACTGCCCTTTCTACAACTACCATAGCTGTATTTTGAATTAAACTATGCAAATCCTTTAAGGAGACCTGTAATAATTGAATGCTTATAAGTTCAATTGTATCTGAAAATAAAGCCTTTGGCACCCTTTGAAGTCTATCTGTGCCATCCATTTTTCAACATGTTAAAACCAAAGAATCTCTAAAAATATTTTCCAACAAAGTTTTACAATGGCACCACGTCTAATAAGCATATAATCAACAATAATAAGCATATATCAACAATTATTATAGTCATAACATGTCAGGAATGTTATCTATTATTTACATCTCAAGACACTGAAATCAGAACAAAATAAAGATCCATAGTTTCAGCAAAGGAAAACAAAAAATTGTTATGGGAATATAATAAGTGAAAAAAATAGGGTAAGGTCCAATTTCCTTTTTCTCCTTGAGAGATCAAGTCTTCATATTCCATTTATTTAAAGTATAAACAACTTTAGTCCTTCTTTCAGCGTCTTCATGTTGTTCCAGCTGCTTTCTTTTTATTTCCAGACAAGGGAAAAAAGGGCGAGGGGAGACTCTGTTTCTGTTCCCCAAGATTCAGAGTCAAATTCAACTAGTTTTTCTCCAATTTTATATTCCACAAAATATAGTCGTAGAGAAGATCTTTTTCTTTATTTTCTTTGCCCAAGAGGCTATTTGAGAAGTTGCTTTGAATTCTCTTTGTAGCTGCCAGAAAGAAAGGAAGGGGGCAGGAAGTGAATTCTTCACCCCTCCATTCCATTGTCTTTTTAAACTTTAAAGGGGCTTTAACGATGGATAGTACATTTTCTGATATTGTTGCTTTAAGATGTACTCACTGTGTTATGCTTCGTCAATGTTATGGATGAGGTCCCAGCTTCTCCCCCCTCCATCGGGGCAGTCACGACTGCGTGCAGCCATGTCTGCATGGGCGCTCTCAGCTGGCTGCTGCATCGGGGCACATTCAGATCTCCACCCGCTCGCTGCCGCTTGTCATTGGAGTTTGGGAGCCCCCGAACCCCTCTAAGGAAGCCAGCAATCTGGTCAACACTTGGGAGAGCTTCCCAGTGTGACTGTTCTCATCACACTGAAACCCCGCCTCAAGAAGTGACATACTTTCTGAAGTTATCTGGAAGTGTCTTTTTGCATATAAGCCTCTATTCTTTCATGCTTTACGATCTGCTAACAAGACTCTGTTCATATTCCATCATTGTGGATACAAGTCAGCATCTACCAGGATCAGTTGAATTGCCCCATGTTATGGAAAGTCCTCCCCCACCAGATACTTGCTTAGCCTCAATGTGTCTTTCACTTATGAAGCAGAAAATATCCTTGTTGTGCCAGGCCTTTTAACTGAGACTATCATTTTCAGTTTTAACCAGCTGCTGTTCTGATTTACTAAATTTTTATTGGGCTTAATGATTGCATTCTAATTGTTGTAAGCATTTTTATGTTGTAAACTAGATTAGGAAAAAAACAGCTACCTCCAGCAAATAAGTTAATAAAAATAAAAGACATTTGACTGCTGCAGTAGATTTCATACTATATGCTACAGCAGTGTTGTCACAGCCTGAAATTCACATTTTCTTACTTTGTCAGCCAAAGTTTCTTTGCCTTGAATTAATTTACATCTGCCACCATTAACACACAAACAAATCAAGGATGAACAGAATAAAGCTAACAAGTGGGAACCCAACGGGTGCTGAGAACATAAATGCCCCTTCTTCAGTAGCTAGGGTTGCCAACTCTAGGTGGAGGGTGTGGAGCCTGGGGGAGGGTGGGCTTTGGGAGGGGCATGATGCTATAGAGTCCATACTTCAATAGATGCTATAGAGTCCATACTTCAAAGCAGCCATTTTCTCTAGCAGA